CATACTGTAACCCTAAATGTAACCCTAACCTTTACCATAACCATAACCATAAACCTACCCTAACACAAACTCTAATGCTAATTCTAAACCTAACCCTAATCCTAACCCTAAATTTAACCCTAACCGTAACCCTCATCTTAACCCTAACTCTAACCCACCCTAACCCTAAATCTAACCCTAACCCTAAGCTCTCCATAAAACTAACTCAAACCCTAAATCTAACCCTAACCCAAATCCTAACCCTAACCATAACTCTAGCCCTAACCTAAGCATAAGTCTAACCCTAGCTGTACCCCTAATCCTAATCCTAACTCTAATCCAAACACTAACACCAGTCCTAACACTAAACTGAACCTAATCCTAAAGCTAACCCTGAACGTAACCATAACTGTAACACTAACCCTAAACCTAAGCATAACTCTAACCCTACATCTAACACTAACCCTAACTTTAACCCAAATGCAACCAATAACTTTAAACCTAACCCTAACTCTATACCTAACCCTAAGTCTAACCCAACCCTAACCTTTAACCAACCATAACTCTAGCCCTAACCCTATACCTTACGCTGTCTAATGCTAAGCCTAACCCTAACACTAATACTAACCCTAAACCTGACCCTAATCCTAAAGCTAACCCTGAACCTAACCCTAAGTCTAACCCTAACCCTGACGTTAACCGTAACTGTAGCCCTAACCCTATGTGTAATCCTAACCCTAACTATTACCCTAACCATAACTCTAGCCCTAATGCTAACCCTAACGCTGTCTAACCCTAAACCTAACACAACGCTAAGCCTAACCCTAACACTAACCCTAACCCTAATCCTAAACATAAATCTAACCCTAATCCTAAAGCTAAGCCTAACCCTAACCCTAAACCTAACCAAACCCTAACACTAACCTTAACCCTAACCCTAACCCTTAACCCTTGACTCTGACCCTGACCCTAAACCCTTACCATGACCCTAACCATGACCATGTACCTAAATCCTAACCTTTAACCCTGACCCTGACCCTAAATCCGGACCCTGACCCAAACCCTCACCCTAACCCTAAACTCTGACCATGACCGTGACCGTGACCCTGACCCTAAACCCTCACCCTAACCCTAACACTCACCCTGACCCTAAACCCTAAACCTTAAACCCGAACCCTAACCCTAAACTCTTAACCCTAACCCTAGAAGAAGGGATGGATTTTGAATTGTGGTCCTGGAGAAGAATATTAAAAGTACCATAAACTGCTTACAGGACCAATTGATCTATATTGGAAGAAATAAGGCCAGAATGCTCCTTAGAGGCAAAGATGGCACGATTTTGCTTTACATACTTTGGATCTATTGTCAGGAGAGATCAGTCCCTGGAGAAGGACATCATTGTTGGTAACCTGGAGGGGTGGTGAATGAGAGGAAGGCCCTCATAGCCATGGGTTGACACAGGAGCAGTGGTGAGGATGGCGCAGGACCGTGCAGTTTGGTTCTGTTGTGCATAGGGTCACTATGGGTCAGAGCCAACTCAATGGAACATAACAACAATAATATCAACAGATCCTCAGTAAATGGAGTTCCTTAGGCAAAAGAAAAATAATACAAATGGAAACATGGAGATGTGGGAAGGAATACTGAAGCATAGAAAGGATACATGCAGGGGCAATAATAAATGATAATTGATGACATGCACTAATAATCATGATGTTTTGAGGATTTTTACATATAGAGAGAAGTAAAATACATAATAATAACAACACAATATGCAGTGGTTTGGCTGGAAAATTATAAGATCCTTGCACCATTAATGTGGTAGTAAGCACATTAATTGACAAAATTTTAGTAAATCAAGGGTGCACTCCGACATCTCTAGGGTTATCACAAAAAATATGAACTTAAAAACTAATAACTAAAAAGAAAGCTTAATCATAACTAGGGATTAAAAGTACATTTTACATAAGTGGGTAAATCTACTAGAAAGAGAGTAATTCTACATGTGTGTACAACTAATAACATGGTCTCAAAATATTTAAAGCAAAAATTTAACCAACTATAAGAACTGAAAAATCT